TGAAACTTGATGTAGTTATGAAAAAGTGTGCATTTTAGGTAGATTTTCCACTTTGTCAAGAGTCATGATATTGAGTATATTAGGGAAAAGTTTTGGTAGATCAAGTAGACTGGTATAGATTTCTTTCTAGAGGAAGTGAGGTATATAAGTTTTTCAAAATCATAGCATTTAATGTTTTGGATGTTAATGGGTATGAATGGTATTAATGACAGGAGTGTTATTATGAATGATCCAGCAATAGTTATGATTAGTGTTACAATCATTGAAAATAAATTTACAGATTTTATTAAGTTGAATTGAAAAATAATAGTCTATATTTTTCTGTAATTATTAGTTCCATTAGCTATAAAATCTAAATTTTTAATGGTGTTTTTTATGGAATTTGGGAATCGCATAAAGATTAGTAAATCTGTTGTAGTTTGCATTGAAAGTAATATTGAGTTTTCTTATGAAAAGTTTTAAATCCTGTTTATTATAGATGTTTCTGTGAGGTTGGCTAATTGATAAGTAGTTGTGTTGAGAAGTTCTTTATGAATAATTTCAGTGTAGAATTGTTTTCATATAATGCTAAAGTTATTAGTTGCTTTATCTATTTTGTAATAGTAAAAAGCTGTTTTAATTTATTAATATCTGATGTAATTGCGACCAATTCAGTGTACTTTTAATTTGAGGTGACTGATTTCTGTGGATATGCGTTGAAGAATTTTAGCTTTCCATTTTAAGAAGGTATCTATGGGTAAATTCAGTTGATAGCTTGCTTTAACTATAAATTCGTTGATGTTGTTTTCGAAAGTCTTGTAACAGTAATTTGTAGTCATGTTTCTGACTGGTCTAAATTTTGTACCATAACTCATTAGTGTTTTTAGTTGATGGTTGTGTATGATATTCAGGTTGCCAGTAATTATGTGCTGGTGATGAGAATCTACGTAATTGCTGTAAATTGGTGTCTTACAATGTTATTCTGCATTTTCATCTATTTCATGGTGGTTAGTAAGCAAGTTGCTTAAGGTCCTTTGATATTTAAATGCAATCATTGGTATTGTGTCAACTGCGGGGAAGTAATCTTTACAATCTCTGATGATTCTTGAGAAATGAATATTGTCAAACTGCGGATGCAGAAAATTGACTTTAAAATAAATTTTGCGTTGAGTGAGACTATTAGAGAGTCTGAAAAGACTAAAATCAAGAATCATGTCTTTAATGATTTGTATGTCGTCGTAGCTTTCTTGAATGAATTTTTTTAGTTTGATAAGGAATTTATTAGTACAGGAGTGTAACCAGTTGAGAAGTTTCTTGGGAAAGCAGTCTGAGTCAAAAAAACATTTCAATTGGTTTTTTCAATGCAAGTGTATCCAAAGTGGATAAATAAAATCTCGCATTATTTTTTATTTTGCTTCCTCTTTTTCCTTTCTGCGTTTTGATGCTGTAGAGTTTTAAATTGGCTGAAAATAGACTTCTTAGAAGTATCTCTATGACTATGTATATAAGTGTTAAGTCCATATGGATAAAGTGAACGTTGTTTTAGTATATAGAGAGATTCCTGAAAAATTCGTGTTTTCTGATTGGTATTATATCTAGTATCTGAAGTTGAATAGAGTTGAAGTCATGGTGTTTAAAGTGTTCTAATTCTGCTGTATTAAGTTGTGATGGTGAACTTATTTTAATGCTATTTTTTTGTGCGTTGAATTTTTTGATTTGAGCTCTATGGTTATTGATTCGAAAGTTAAGATTGTTTTTAGTCTGTCCTATATATTTAATATGTCAAGTACCGCATGTAATCATGTAAATACAGTTAAATGTTTTTCATATAAATTGTTTTTTGGGTTTACCTGTAGTAGGCATGGCGTTAAATTTTCAAGTTTGTCATCTAGTGGAATGACATTTAGTGATTTCAATATGAGTTAAACTAGCAAGATATAAAAGTAAGGAGGCTGCTAACCTTCAATACAGTAAAGAACTTTAAAACTTAAAAAGGATGGAGATAATATATAAAGTGGGTACATTAGGTAAGAGATAAATATATATATATATATATATATATAAGTATATAATTTATGCTTTACCTTTATTCAGAGCCCTGCCTAGGTATTTTTTCACCGGAGGCAAAGTGGTAAATGCGCGCCCCTGTATATATTCAAATTACTTGCATTTACATGCTTCTATATTTAACAAAGTTACTACACTAAATCATGCCAAATTTCTTATAATATTTTTATTATAAATTTATGTATGTATTATAAATAAAAATACATGGAACAATTTATAATTTTAAATGAAAACGTTAAAAACCGCTTTTAAAATTATTGTTTTCATAAAGGGAAAGTAACACTGAAGGAATATAAATAAGAAAAAGACTAGAAGAAAGAGACTTGCTTTAGAACACTGTGTTGTGAAATAGGTAAAAAAATATGTTTATTATTTAGTACAAGGTGTCTGAAATGGAACTATCACGCTACCAGATTAGAACCATCATTTACTTCCAGTTCCGTCGCAAAAAGTCAGCTACAGAATGTCACCAAATCATGTATACAGCTTTAGGCAGTAATGCCGTATAATATGACACAGTGAAGGTTTGGTACCTATAGTTCAAAAACAAGGATATGACATTCAAGAAACAGAGCGCTCTAGCCGACCTACTGATTTTGATGAGGCCCGCCTGCGAGAACCCCTATGGAAGATTAGTATGCAACGACTCGACAGCTCGCTAAGGAGTTAGACGGTAGTGCCATGTCCATTAGTCGAGCTATTAATGGCATAAGCTTGACGTACAATCGCTGGGTGCTGCATGAGCTGACTATAGCAGATAAGGACAGACGTGTTCGGGCCTGCACTAATCTGTTCGAATATCAACGCAAGGACAAAATTCTGGACCGGATCGTGACTTGTGATATTCGTGACTTGTGATGAATGTGGTTAATCTGTTTTTGGACTCGCGGCAACAAAGTTACAGGGCCCAAAGCTTTGAAAAACTATCAAAACGTTGGCAGAAAATCATAGATTTTTGGTGGTGCACTAAAGTACTGCTTTAATATTTTTTTTCTAACTTTATTAAGAATGTTTTCTGGCGGAAAACGTTTGTTGCAGCTAGATATCATCTCAATATATTTCAAAGATAAGCAGAGAAGAGAATATATTATATAGTCTGAACACAGTCTGAAGGAAGAAGAGAATATATTATATTCTCTTCTTCCTTCAGACTGTGTTATCATGCCTTCAAGAAATAAAGCAAAAGATGAACTTCTGTGACAAATGCAAGATATAATACGAGAAAGAAAACAAAAAGTTCCGACCTTTTCAAATTTTAAAGATAGTTTCGATGCTGTTTATGTAATATTTTCTAAAGATAAAAATTTATATTTCTTTTAAGAAAAGAGTTAAAATAATTTCATAAGTCAAAAGTTTATTAATGCTAATTTTCTGCAGGTCTGTTGTTCTCAAATAAGTTGCAATTTACGCATTATCTTGCAAAAGATTTCCTTTTTCTAGAAAATAATCCTAATATTCACATTAGCGTTAATTTTTTGTTTAGCATTACAGGTCTTAACCATCTAAATTTCTGGCATTAAGTCCTTTGCCTACATCTATCCGTATAATATCGGTATAGCGAACATAAAGCCTATTTGATTGTAGAGACATTAGGTATTTTTTTAAGCAGGCAGGATGAAAAATTAGCAAATGTCTTTGCCGGGAATCGAACCATGGACCTCTGGAATACCGTCCCAGCGTACAGAACCACTACACCACGAAGGCACGCTAGGAAGACGGAAAAAATACCTTATATACTCTCCTTTTTAAAAGGTGACTGCGGTTCTTTTAGGGGACTCAATTGCCAAATTCTAGGTGTGGAAAATAATCATCCAACACCCTTTTAGTTAAGGCGCCACTATAGAGGCAGGTACAGGTAGAGCTAGGCCAGCACCTCCGTAGTACCACAGGTAATTGAGTTATTGCTGAACCTAGCTAACTGTTAAACTTTCCACCCCAATTTTGAGGAAGAACACCCCGGGGGTGATCCGAGGTTCTCCCGCCCCTCTTTTTTTACCATCAACCACTTGAGAGGACTTTCTGAGATAACTGAGTTTTGGTATTAATAGTGTACACAAATCATATTGAGAAAAGAATCTGTCCTTGAAAAGTTCAACAACTGATGCTTCCAAAAGCCTAAAATGTAAGCACAAATGTCTTTTCTATGGCGGAAGGTGTAATAAGCAAGTCTTTGGAGCTCCCGTCCATCAGCATTGCGTAGATAAATGAAATTGTTGGAACATTAAAATGAAATAAAAAAATGACAAATATAGTTTAGTAACATATGGAGATGAATAAGCATTAGATATGACAAATATCCAGTCCGAGTCTTTGGATATGTATAAGAACGTCTCTGATTTTGGCCCTAAAGTGTCTGTTCTTTATTGTATATTTCTTAAATGGTATTAGATTGCTGTTAGGCTTAATCAGATGTTTCAGATGATGATGATGTAATCAGATGTTAGATTACAGTCAAAAATGTAATGATCAGGGTCACCCCTTTCGCCACATATGCAGAGATCCGTGGGGCACATGCCTCTGTCATGGAAGTAGGTGGGGAAACTGATTCAAAACATGGTCATAGTGTAGTGCCTCTTTGTCAGTTTTTGAGAAAAATTGTGGACTCTTCTGCCTTGCAAGGCAGAATCCCACTCTTCTTGACACTTTGAAGTAATTGCATTCAGTGTAAATTTTAAATGGGACTTGGGCCACGGGACATGAATTACCTCACTGTTGATGTTAGTTGTTGCATCCTTTGCAAGGAGGTCAGCTGCCTCGTTGCCGTCGTTTCTGTTGTGGGCTTTCACCCAATTGAGGATAAACTGGATTTCTGGGTGGGCACTTATTGTATTTTGAATATCCTGAACCAGTTGGTTCTTATTGTTTCTGTCCTTCAGGGCATATCATGCAGATTGACTGTCTGAATAGATAGCTATTGTCCTGAAATTATTTGATGTAGCTTTATTTACTGCAGACTAAATTGCTGACAGCTCAGCTTGATAAACAGAATTTTCTGGAGATAATTTTCCTTGCCATACTGTTGGAATAGAGGAAGAAAAATAGATTATTGATGCTGCGCCCACTTCTCCATGAATTTTAGAGCCGTCTGTAAATGCTCTTCGACATTCTTTACTACTGATTGCTGAAGCGTCCGTATTGATTATTAAATTACAATACTTTGCAAGATGGTAAGTCAATGGTATGGCTGGAGATTCATACTTTGAGGCAGGAAAGGTGGTGCCGTTCAGGTAAGCATCTTCTTTCAACTGGAGTACTCTGGCTTTTATTGAATCCTTCGTCGCAATTAAATGAGGGGGATGAATCCCAGTGAAAATGCATAGAGAGAAATTAGCTGTCGTTCTATAGGCTTTGCAAATGCTCAGGAGAAAAGGTCTCTGAATGGCGAAAAGTTTCCTTTTCTTCCTTTCTGTCATAGTCTCCGCCCAGATTGCAGCCCCATAATTCACTATACTTGAAATTACTGTTGTAAATAAAATTTTTTGAATGTGAGGACGAAGTCCCCAGTTACTGCCTTGCATTTTTCTGAAATTATAAGCGATTTGATTTGTCTTTTTCTGAGTCTCCGTGAGATGGTACATAAAATTAAGTTGGTTATCTATGTGGATACCCAGAAACTTCAGGACTTGGGTAATCTTAATTTTCTTTCCGTTCAGGGTGAGGTGGGCTTTCTTAAGCTTTTGGCCTGGCTGTTAAAAAGTATAGCCTTGGACTTCACTTGCGAATGCAGAGTTTCAACCTCTGGCATTCTATGTTAGCTGTTTGAGAGAACCGTTCACATTCCTTTCGAGGATTCTCTAGTTCTACCACTAACAACCAACGCAGTGTCATCCGCAAACGCGAAGATCTTCGTATGATCGGGAAATTCATATTGCCACTATAGAGACATTAGTTTATTATTTTTGAAAGCCGGAGAGATGAAATATTAGCAACGCCTTCGCCGGGAATCGAACCACGGACCTCTGGAATACTAGCCCTGTGTACAGACCACGAAAGCACGCCAAGAAGGTGGGAGAAATACCTTATATACTCCCCCTTTTAAAGGGCGACTGGGGTTTTAGGGGACCCAATCGCCAAACCATGGGTGGGGAGAATCATCATCCACCACTCGTTCAGTTCGGGCACCACTGTAGAGACAATAAGTATTTTTGGAAGCAGGCAGGATGAAAAATTAGCAAACGCCTTCGCCGGGAATCGAACCACGGACCTCTGGAATACCGGCCCAGCGTGCAGAACCACTACACGACGAAGGTACGCTAGGAAGGCGAGAGAAATGCCTTATATGATGAAAAAAAATTGGGCAACTGACATACCTACTTCAGCCTTATTACGCGAATCAAAGAAGTAATTATTTTAAGTCAGCCTCACAGGTTGCCTTACAGAAGTACATATGTATTAAGATAAAAAATATGTTTATCTAATCATACAGGAAAAAGAAAGAACATTCTTGTTTGCGCAGTAAAAAAGGTACAGAATAGCAGAATGGAAATTTAAACATATGTTTGTATATACATTTATGAAGAATGCCTACTTCCCAGAAGGTAACTATTTTTTTACGAATAAATGTTAAGTTTGAAAAGGAGCTAAATAACTAGTGTTAAAATGCTTTGAAAAGCACAGTTTTAGACTACGATGTATGCGTTGCAATCTAATCCAAACATACATATATATATGTGTATAAGTACACAAAAGTGTCTGCTTATTCCAGTGTATAAAAGTCGTAATCCTTTATCAAATGTATGCATACATATCAGATAAATAACATGTATGCATACCAATATGAGCGTATGTAATAAATCAAATTAGATTGCTTCATCTGCATATTTTGCCTAAGCTGTATAGCCGAGGAACACCAGCGTAGCTATGGGAGCGACGAAAAGAAACAAGGCGCCCACGCTGTAGAATGGGATGTCCATAATTCTGAATCCCATCGAAGGGACTCGTCGCCACCCCTGCATCAAAAACGTCCAACGCAACGCCATTCTGAATCCCAAACGACCCGACTGAAAAAGTTCGTCAACTCTAGTGTTAGCGTGGAAAGTGGGCGTAGCAAATGAAGGAGCACCGGGAGCTAAATGTTCGGTCCCTAGGGGTCATGCAGTAAATTGGAATTGGACTCCACTCTCATCCGGCACATAAATCAGTAAATTGTGGACCCGAATCGACCGGTTCCTTCTAGAGATAAGATTTTTTTTTTTTCATTCCTACTTGCACTTTGCTTTTGTTGAGCCTTGAGAGTTCGTTAATATTTCGGTATATCTTGGTTATGGCGAACATAAAATCTTATCTAAACGCCTAAGTATGAATTAGTGTTCGTAAAACGTTCATTCTTTTAAAAAATGCGTCTGCCAACTGCATTACTTCACTTTGTTATCGTGAAATTTTTCTCTCGAAGAAAGAAAATTAACGTTAAATGATTTACTATTTTCTTTTATTGTTTAAAAAAATCGCTCCGATTTCGTTTCTTTGTCGAAGACCCGGATATGCGAAGTTTAACTGTGATTATTGCTTCTACCTGATTCATGAGCTAGCAAAAAATTTTGGTCACTGTAGTGAGAGCCACTGGCCATTAAAATTAATTTCTGTAGGCATATTTTATTGTCTTGGAAGGAAATATGCACTTTATTGATTAAAACATTTTCATTTGTTAGTTAGAAGCACAGGTTAAGTTTCGTTTTCTTACAAGGGGGAGAAATGGGAGAATGCAGGGGGGAGTAATATTTAATAAATATCTCATCTAAGACAATCAACTTGAGGATAACAAAAAAGAAATTTAATTTTTCTAATATAAAAGCACATAAAAGAAGTAAAGAATTGCAAAGAAATATATAAATTAGCAATTTTAATAGTTTCTGAAATCTCCCTGTATTTACAGGCTCAAACTTCCAAACTGGAGTTTAAAATTTTCGACCTAGGACACTTTGAGGGAGATTAAAATTTTAAAAATAAAAAAATATTAAAATTATCCATAAACATTTAAAAAAAGAAACGAAAATGATGACACGATGATTTAAAAATATGACAGGGACAAAAGTATATAAAATATTTGAATAACAAAAATTAGAGGACAAAACTATTTAAAAAATTTTTAAATGGATGCAGTTAAAAATATAAATACTTAAAATCATAAAAATTAGCATTTTTTATTTAGTAAAATTCAGATCTTTAAAATATTTTTTTCATCAGTTCAGGAATTAAAACTTTCTGGATATCCTAACCATTTAACAAAATCTCTGTTTCCTTTTCTCTTTATTATTTTCCCAGTTTTATAAATTCCATCTTTTTAATCATATTTAACAATTTTTTTTTCATAAAAGTTTTCTTAACTCATTTTTTTTTCATTTTTTAATATCAGATATTTCTAAAAAAATTAACCTGAATAAAAAATACAAGGAAAATTTTACAGAAAGACTCGAGCTTACGAAAGACAGTGAAGCTGTAAGTCTTAATTCACCCTTAAAACATGTATTTAAATTCTTAATCCAATGAAGAAGGATCATTGCAGTTTTTAAAGCTGCAATGGAATTTGAAAGGACTAAAGATATGAATATGTTATAACTGATAACAACGACTATAAAGCTGCTGTAAAAGAAGTGAGTTTGATGTTCCGCAACTTATTTTACAAAAGATGCTGAAATATAAATTTTAGAATTAAAAAATTCGAATAAATATTTTTAAAAAATTGGACTGAATTTCCAATTGAATGATCAAACCCAAAGAAAGTAGGGATGGTTTGTGTGAAATCAAATCATCATCAGACGAAGTGTTGAGTGCCTATGTGATTTCACAGTACGCTAAAAGACAAAATAACATAAAAATGAACAATATGATATTGGACAATTTATATATGTTTTGTCGCTTGTTAACAGTAAACAACAATATAAATTTTCCAAATCAAACACATAAAATGGATTTTACTAGAAAGAAATATGATCAATTATATTTGGCCCTGTTAGGAGTAGGATCAACCTGATTAATATCAACACGGAAACAAGATGTCTCATAAGTTAAAAAGAGTTTGTAAAGTCTATCGAATGATTTGTTTCATTCCCTCACGGCACGAAGACTGTTTGGATATTAGACATTTAATTTTAACTCCCAAAGAAAGAACTGAGAAATGCTCCAGATGACTCTTTTAGATTTTACTCTATTTTGTAACAGAGAATGTAAAATTAATATAACTTCTACACATATCTATGATACCCTCCTTGGGAAAATAATAAAATTTTTATTCTTAAATAAATAACTGCGCATTGTCTCTTTAGTAAAAGAAGCAGAGTAAAGCGAGGTTTCAAAGTGACGAGCGATGGAAATTACGATATGGAAAATAAAATTTTAAACAATTGTGGAAATCCAGAAAATGAGAAAGAAGTTAAAAAGAAACAGAGTTTGTTGGAATATACAGACGGCAATAGTTTAAAAATTAAAGATATTTAGTTTTCTTAAAGAAGGATATGTTAAAATTACATTATTTATAGAATATTTTGAACCAGGTACTGTATCTGTTTATGATGACGATTAATAATATCGCATTTCGTAAGCATATAGAATATCCAAGAGAAACTTTTGTTTTAGAAAAAATTAAAGTTGAACGTTTGGCTATGAGACTGAAAATAGATGAAGAAATAGCTACTCACTCTTATTTAAAACCTGAACATTTGGAATGGGATAAACCTTAACCATTTTATATGTATCATTTGCCTTTTTCGTCATATTATGTCTTTATAAGAAATAAAAATGAAGACTAAAAAATGCAAAACTTGTAAAAATAAGAAAAACACTGTAGATAATTTTCAACACAGAGAAGTAAATATTATCAATTCGCTTGTAAAAATTGTTACTCTGTTAATAAATACGCAAGAACTGGGTGTAAGTATGGGGAAAATATATTTACACACATAAAACAAAAACATTTTAGAAGCAATAGCCATCTAAGGAATTTACGTTCTTGTAAATGTTACCATATAAATGGAGTTCAGAAACAAGACAGTGAAACAATCCCACGCTTATTGTATAGCAAATGGTATTCATAATTATGCAAAGCTTAAAAAAGCTGATTTGATTAATCATGTAATTCAAGCGTAAAGATCTTTTGAAAACACATTAAAATCAGAAACGGTAAAGTAACTCCATAAGATACTGTAGAGAACATGACATCGATAATTATTTAAGACTTAAAAAAGCTGATTTGTTTAATATAATATAATTGGTCAAATTCTAAGAAGAGAGTTAAATAAAATATTTTTTAACAAACATTCGAAATTTTCGAAACCAAAGAAACATAAAGAACCACAAATTAAATGGGATCAAGGCGGTAAATATTATAAAAATCATACGAAAGTCATCATTAGCGAAGTTTGATTCATACAGACAGCATGAGCACTAGTAAAAAATGGAACTAATTGAAACCATTTATAAATCAAGATTAGAAACATGGTGAATTAGAAATGAAAACAGCATTATGATTCCTCTTGAGTATTTGTAAAGGCAAAGAAATATTGTGATTGAAAAAATTTCAAAT